GAGATCGGGTCGATTTTCGGAGGGTGTGAAACGTCTTGTTTTGCTGTGCTGATGAGTGTTGATTGTTTATCTATTGACCAGGCCCTTTTTGTTGTCTTGGCCCTTCTTGGCTTCCCCAGGGCAACAGCGAGAGAAAGACCAGACCAGCATGGTCAGCTTGGCTCTAACGAGCGGCAGGCGTCGGTTCGGCGTGTGGCTTTGAAGGGGTCATTTTGCGACGACATTTCACTCTCTTTCCTTCTTTCACCTCTTTTTTGTCACTCTTGTCGCATCTGGCGCGCCTTTGTTACCTCCCTGCGGACGGCGGTGCGATCGGACAGCCTCGAAATACTTGGACGGTCAACGGCCGGACTTGGACGATACGATACGGAACAGCCAAGGCGCCGAGCAGCGAACGTCCAATTGGCAACATTGGCAGAACGCCGAACCCGCGAATCAATCGGGCTCGGTGAGAAAACAAGCTCATCCATCTCTCCCCTCAGAGATCTTTTTTGCGATCCCCCTACGAAACGTCCAGCTGCCACGCGCAGCGAATCCCGACCGCATCCGACTTACACGCAACAAACGTTAAAACACCGCGGCGCATTTACACCTTTTTTTTCGCATTCCCCAGAAATCTTTGGGGATCGAGAAAAAAAGGATAACCCAGCCATTCGGGTGTTCGTCCGGTCTTTTTTGTTTGCTGTTTCCGAGTCCCCATTTCCCTCGTGGGATTGAGCAGTTGGGAATTCATGCGTTTCCCTTCTTCTTTGTTTCCCCCCGACGCATTGCGTTTCGAGTTTCAATGATATTGCGGAGAAACGTCGTTCGTGTGGCGGGATGGCAGCTGTTTGACATGTACACAGTGTCTCCAACTCCAGCAGGGAGATCCTTCTCTCGAGTTGTTGGGTAGAAAGGGGGCGTCTGTGCATTCACTGCTGCGTTTCGATGTTTCGAAACTTTTTTTTTGGTGGTTTCTTACTTACTTCGGGCGAACAATGTTGAGGTGCAGTGCAGAGTTGCCTGGACCTGACGCCCGCCCGCCCGCCCGGGACGGAACTGGCTGCTGCTCGTCATTCTGCATGGCACCGGATCTGCGGTTGGGGGATTTTTCTTTCCTTCTCGGCTCTTTTGCCTGTCAGAGGGCTGTCAGGATCGGATAGCGCTTGCTGCTGCAGAAGACCGGAGGATGCGAACGGTGCCTGGGATTTCCGGGTGTTGGGATCGCTGTGCGCTCGAACTCTGATCGGGATGGGGGCACGCGCGCGCGCCCGTCGTGGGTTGAGAGAGAGAACCGCGAAATTGCCGCGCTGCGCCATCTGGGGCATGATGGGAAGGTTGAGGATGAGTGATTTGTTTGATGCGTTTTGTCGACCGGAGTCTTGGCGACGCCCCGGAGATGTTTCTGTTGCTCGTGAGAAAAGGTTCCTGGGTGAGTGTGATGTGAGATTCCTGTGATGTTATGACACTTGGCATTTTTTCATCCGAAGCCACATCTTGCAAGGCGAAGAAGGGGTCCGAAGCACCACCTCCTCCTCCAAGGCGAGGAAGGGGGACCAAGAGAAAGTCTGCCCTGGGTAAGAAAGCAGTCTGCCTCGAACGAACCAAGACGGGCATCAGTTTCACTGGGCGCGGTGCCCTAGATCTCTGATGGGCATGACGAGATCAGGGGACCTGGGGGGGGGATTGAGTTTGGTGGCTTATGAAGATGGGCTGAGCTCTCTGTGACGCAGGCTTGAAGTCAAGTTCTCTTGCTGAGGTTGGGTGAGATGTGAGGTGAGGTGGGATGAGTAAGTTGGGGCGGTAATTCGGGACGGTTGTTGGTCGAGCAAGATCGGACGGTGATGTCAAGCAAACAAACCACCCTTTCGGCTCATCTTTTGTCGGCTGTGAGCGGCGGTGTTTTACTCTGCACACGCCCCCGATGGGTGAAGGGGAATAGGATGGGGAGGTGGATGTATATCCGATCGAGCCTATTCTGTGCTGTCTTCGTCCTCAAATGCCGCATGGGTTTGGGGGCAGCTGGTTAGGGTTTGCGTGGCTGTGATGGTGACGGTGTCCCTTCTCTGCTTGGCTGGAGAAGCTTTGGCTGTGCCCTGGGGCTTTTCTCCGTGGAAATGTTCTAGAATGACGCGGGCAGCAGAGGGTTGGGGGAGCTTCGTGGGGTGGCTTTGGTGGGAAGGTTGTGAGGGAGGGAGGGAGGTGAGGTGATGAGGCTGAGGGAGCGAGGGAGTTTGTTGGTTTGGGTTCGTGGAGGGACTTTTGGTGAAGGGGGTTGCTGGGTGATGCGATGGTGGGAGACGTGTATTCGTGTATCCGTGTAAGTCGGGCTTCGTGGTTCCTCCTGTCTGGAGTGAGAGGATCGCGACATGGTCTTGCTCGAGACTTGGAGTTTCTGTGAGGAGCCGGGTAATAAGCGGTAGACCTGTGAGTTTATAAACCCACTTTACTAAAGAGAGAGATCCTTTCATCAACCCGCACCTACACCAGGAGCTTATCAACAGCAACCTCGCCAGCCGCGGCATCAAACAGCTCGTAGCGCGGGACGTGTGGAAATCACCCCGGCACCGGTCCGGCAGGTGATCTCGTTACAGTTTGATTTATTCGAGATTGAATAATGCCTCGGCGATGCCATCGGCGGGCGAGGGACGGTGTTTGATAAGTGGGATTAGAGAAGTGCTACTTACTCACCCCGATGCAAAACATAGCACAGCGGATAATGGTGGTCTCATTGTTTTGCAAAGATACGCTAGAGACGAGCACAGTGACAATGGTTTTGGTTCGGATTCTGAAGATCCGTATGACTATTATTATAATTCTGCTTCAGACTACTCTCTTCAGTGCTATTTAACCCCAGACTCTCTTCCCGCAGCGTCGCCAAGTTATCTACAGCAGTTCTGTGACGGGACCAAGCGTCTCTCTTCCGGTGCTTGCCCCATCCCCCTTACGTTCTCGTGTGCATGGATGCGGAGGACTTGAATCGATGTTCTGGTGTCGATGTCGGGCCGGAGTGTGATGTCGTTGATCGATGGGGCTTGCTTGAATACTCCGGCGACACGAGGGACAGACGAGGGACAGGTGCCATCGCGGATGGACTGCGTTCTGTTTGTGGGGTCACTGGACGGAAATAATCGACCTGTGTGACTCCATTATTGGTGTTTGGCGCGAAGTACGAGGAGCTCCTGCATGAGCTTTCCTGGGATGAAGACCTTGCAATGCCTGGGCCTTGGACTGAAGTGCCAACTACTTTGTTAGTTTTATACGTCTTGTCAATCCTGAGCCATGTCCGGCTGGCTTACTCAGGGAAGGTGGGAGAGACCGGGTGTAAGTCAACATGTGTACTTTGCCCACGTTGCGATAAACTGCTTCTAGGTACATAAGTCAGCAGGAGTTGTTAATTCTACCTGAACACAGCAGTAACAGGGTGTGGGTGAATACCGGGTGAGTGTAGTGTCTTTCACAACCGCATCTCCCATGTGAGAAGCGTGATTGAGATGCTTGCTTGCCGACGTGCTTGACAACATCCGGGGTGCGGTATACTGCTTGCCTGGGCGTATTCAGGAGCAAATACCTCCGCGGTGACGACGGTGTCGGGGGATGTTGGGGTGAAGGTGACGAGTCTGAAAACACGAGCTTATCGCCTGTTTACTGGTTGCATCCGTTGGCAAATCTTGTTCTTCACGCCAAGGAAGACAATGCTCTGTCCATACTGGTCCATCATCTGCGTCGCTAGCTTGCCGCCGTCATTATTGGCTTTCAGTCGTGTTGTCTGAGATTTTATATCTGCAAGAACTTATCCACAGGAATACCATCCACTACGGCGTTGCAATAAGGGCAACCAATACGATTGTACCGTCGTCCGGTTGGGAACATGGTGCAGAAGCCGATTGCCGGTTCTTTGAGACAAGTTGAGCTGCTTCTGTTCCGGATTCGCCGCCTCCGAAATGTTGCTGGTCCAAGGGGAGGAACTGATGAAAGCCCACCATGGTGATTTCCGGTGATTTGTTTGGTGCGTCTCGGACACCCTGTTTATGAAGGCAAGATGAGGGATGCGGGTAGTAAGCGTTCCATTGCTTGTGGTGTCCTGCTCTGTCGAATACAACGACTTTCGGACCCGCTGGGTGGTGAAGTTACGTCTTAGATGAACCCCAAGTGTTCTTTGCAGACTCGTTGTGGTGGGATATTCCAGTCTTTCTATAATGCTCGATGAGGCGGACCACAAGGGTCAACTCCTTTACCATTGACTCAGCGTTTCGCTGGAAGTGATGCCTTGTTCTCAAAATGGCTGGAACTCAGTGGGAATCACGATGCCAAGTGGTCACCAGTGACGGAAAAATGTTGGCTGCGCTTAGTGCTTTAAGTATTCAGCACGATACACCGGAGATAACAGTACCTAGGGACAGTGTGTGATGCCGTAACAGGAAGATGCCGTAACGTGAAGATGGAAAAGGCTATCAAAAGAATGCCACCGATGAAAAGCAAACGGACACAATCCTGGCCAGTGCGCGGAAATTCATCGACTACAACCTTGCAAAAGTTTCGACCCCAACATGAAGTTCAATTATGTATCTCTGAATTGAGGTCTACTCACGTCAATAGGGTATTGTGCATTCAGGTTAATCGCCGCCAGAGAAAGCTGTGCCAGTGCTGAATGAAATCGCCACTGAGGTATGCTTCATCGACTGTGTCCATCGCCTCCGTTGGAATACGATGGGACCTGTTTTCTGCAATGCTTCCAAAGACTACGACGGCAAACAGCCTCGCAGCCCCGGGCTGAGATTTAGTTCCCGCTACAGCAAAACTGGACTCGGTTTAGACCTCCATCTCTCCGCGGTACGGATTACACCCAATGAAGACCTTGATACTCTGACGTTTCGGAGAAAGGAATCCAAAAAAGATATATAGTTCGCTTTTACTCTGATCTTCCCGGTTGTCTTGTCTCTAGTCATTGCGCCTCACGAGCCGGTCCACTTCTACACAGCACACTGGCACTCCCTCAACCACCATCAGCCAAAGACGACATGCTTTTCCCGCTTCTTTTTCTCTTGCTGACTGAGGCCTACCGGCCTGACACGAATACTACATCCGTGAACGAAAACAAGAACCAGGGTACACAACTCGAAGGCAGATGCGACTACACTAACATGGACACCGTCGGCCCGGCGAACGCTTCAACCCTCCTCGTAACTGTCGAGAACGATCATTCCATCGATCACGAGATTTTGAACAAGCACGCGAACGAACGGATACCCGAGATCCGCATCACCGTGACCCCGGATACTTGAGCGACCAAGGCCTCGAAGTCATCAGCACCCATGTAGGCCCCGAAGAGTGACCAAGGAGGAAGACCTTGGGGCCGGCCGAATCATTACATTATTGAGACCAACAACTCTCTGGTATTATATTTCCACGGCAAAACTCTCAAGAGCGGATGAGAGCAGGCTGTTTTCAAGCCTCTACTCTCAGCTGTTTCGAAACTATGTCCTTCCAGAGAGTGAAGCCAAGCCGTCCAGAGCACAAACCAGTGAGAACGCCCAATGTCTTGCGCAGAGAAAGCCGTGGTCAAACGAATAGAAAGGCTTTCATAAACGAATGATGGTTTCAACTGGAACGGGTTGTGGTTAGCATTCGCTGAACACCAGGACTGGAAGACGGCAACTATCAGGGATCAATAGAAATCTACGGGCTGGAGTAGAACAAGAGCAAGACTTTCTCCCAACGGAACGCCTCTGAACCTCTTATTCTCGGCTTCACAGGTCACAGATCTATATATAAACAGCCACTATTTCAAGTAATTGTTGCACAGACACCATGCCGATAGTTCTTGGTTCTGGAGAGCACAGTAACGTAATTCAAAGTCGAGAAACAACATGAGCGTGACGAGCATGCTGGGTTTCTGAGAGTTGAAAGCAGACAACAGAGCATTGCCCCTCGATGTATTCCCAATTGAATACTTGGAATGAGATGAAGACAAGCGCGCAGATAACTAGGCCAAGCATCTTACTCCACAGGTATCTAGATTACAGTTCATCTCTGTTGGTTCTAAACCAAAGCCTCAGACAGGAAGACAATGTAGGCTTGTAGGTGTTGATGCACAGCAGCCTTCTATGGTACGAATAAGAATCCAAATGTGGGCCATGTCACTCAACCTGATCCACCACCTATCTCCCTTAAAGATACGATGGTCTGAACCTCAGCTCTTGTCAGGTGAGCTTAGCCTCGAGGCCATTTCGAGCTAACCCAATGCTTACAGATGGCCTTCGCAATGTAACTGTAGTCAGAGGCTATATCAGTATGACTTGAGCTGTACTTACATGACCAGTGACCTCTGGTGTACCTATGCTCTGCATGCCACCAAGAGCCTTAATAGCATGAAATGGAGTCTTTTCAATCATATCACGAGGTAGTCTTGGCATATATTCTCCTGTTCTGTCCGTCTACTAATACATCGGGCCGGAATACCTCATCAAGAACGACAAACAACAGGGACACGATTCGCTCAAAGAAGTAGAACTGCCTCGCGTTCTAGGAAACCTCAAGTAACGTGCGTGCATTACTGCTGCAACAAAACTTGTACCGGGGACTTCAAACTGGCCTGCGGGTGTTGAGGTCTTTGCCTTTTGCCCATTTAACTGCTATACGTTTTCGACCAACCGACGTTCCTGGAAGCACTGCTGATACTCCTTTTCCGCACGACCTGACATTGCCTGCTCCAGAGCAGTGCAGAAAGGCGAGGGAAGTCGAGACGGTTGATCTTACAACAAGAAATAGACTGCTATGCCGCGGCTCCAGATGCGATATGAATAGCCTGATAGACCGAACCTTCATCCCATGCGGGTGCCATCGCGAGTTTTGTCTCAGGAAGGTTGATTCGCAACGCTATAAATATGATAGATTCCGAATTTCTCTGAAGCCATCAACCCGCACGATCGCCTGCAGAAACTCCAGGGTAGCGTTAGCTCGTGAGGGCAGTTAGTCCAACGCGCCAACGTCGTGCTCTGTGCCGACTGCCAACCGAGTTCAGTTCTGTGGAGATGATGTTCGAAGTTTCCAAACGGCGCAGCTGATCGTCTCTGGGGCATTCCACTGGAATAACCCGGTGACGACAACGACGAAGTGAGCCTGGTGAGGTGTGGTTCACCTGGCGACCCCAGTCCCATCGAGTTCCGTGTCCTATGGACACACCAGGAGCAGAATTACCTCACAGAACACAGCTCAGTAAGAATGTACTCAACACCATTGCTGTGGTTTAGATGCTACACGAAGTCCCACAGGGTTATATGCCTATTCCCGTTGGACCGTCGAACAGCTGAGCTTGAGAAGCCCGTCAGAGGAAGAACGCCTGGTCAACGTCGAACCCCACTGGGTATATAACCAGCTAGTTTCGAGAGAGTAGATAGCTGTATGCAGAACCCGCAATCTCAGCTAGTAGCTTGCTGACTGGTTGTTGCCATAAGGAGACAGTCCTTAGGCAAATAGACGATTCCATGAAACATACCATCCCAACCTACAACCCGTGTGGACTCAGTCGAAGCCGAGATTCCTCTTTCTTATTCCACCACGTTCCCACCCAGGACAACGAAATACGAGAGAGACGTGCCGCCATCCTTCGTCATTCAGACCCCAGGTCTTTGACTGGCCAGCTTTGAGCACTTGAGAGCGAACCATTGCCAGATAATCCAGCGTCTCCAAGGTCGCCCAGTGTTTCAAGAGACCCGATGGACCATAGATCTGGCAATGAGCGAGTTTGAAATTTGTGAAAGACTTTCCCCAAGGATGGCCTATTAAATAGTTTTCGGGCACGGCGATGGTGAAAAACCGTCGCCCCCGGTTCTCAATTCGCACCGCGTTTACGCCAGGGCTTGAGAGTATCAAATTCATACCCCGTCGAGATCCTACTACTAATTAATTAACCCCATGCAATCTTGTTGGGAAAGACAACGCAATGCGACATGTTCCTGGTACTGGTCCCACTGATAACACCGCGAAGGAAGAATTCGCATCTATGCAGATTCCCCGTCAATTCAGGGATACTTTCTCGAGCCATCCTGGCATGCGTCGACTCCATCTCCAATCCCCGAAGTATCCCTAACCAACACACCACAAACAACGCTCACGGGGGGCGATATCATGGCCGCGACCTTTGCGGCAATATCCAGAAGATCCCAGTGACGTCCACATGTCTATACGTCTCGGACACCAAAGCCGATTCGCGAAATCAAAAGAAAGCCCCGGCATGATTGTGTTTCTTGTGTAAGTTAGACACGTGTGTACATCCATATATACCCCGCATGAAGCATCCCATGACAACAAGCTCAAGGACCCCGGCCACGAAGGTGACCGTAGCGTACGGGTTGGCTCCAGCTCATGTGTGAATGTAGCCATCAAGCTACAGTGCTAACTCGACACCGAGCCTCTTCAGAAGAAGCATCCAGCAACAACTCAACTTCCAGGACCTCACAATCCCCAAGGTCACGACCTGCCACAAACTTCACCAGAACCCTTCCAACCAACCCCTTCAACCCATCAACCTTGAGCAAACACATCCAGCCACGAGTCCATACACCGTCAAACCCTCCAAGCCTCACCGACCAGCTGCGAATTTCACAATAACACACCCCCAGGCCACGAAGGTAAGCAAGCCAAACTTCCATCAACCCTCGTGGATCGAATAACCCACTCACCAAAGTTGACATGTCGTCAAAAACCATCCATCCATCCACAGAAATGCCCACATGATGTGCACCATATACAGTGGAGTCCGGGGGGTCCGCGGTTCGCCAGCGCGGTTCGCCGCAAGGATGCTTTCGTCTGAGTTTCAAGTATCCGGTCGAAAATCCACAAGGCGCGCGCGGCTAACCCCGTCAAACCGACGTCTGGTTACCGCCGAGAACTCTAACGCTCGGCCGGTCCGGGAGCCGCACCGCGAACGTCGAACCGGATCGACTCCGAATCGGTCGTCTGATCGGAGGTGTGGGGGGTTGGTCCTGGTACGCCCTCGATCCACCCACGCGCATGTCACGGAGAAGATGGGGCCATTTGTTATTTTCATGGAGCATTTGTCTATAGTTCCAGGGGCGCAAAAGCGCAGCCTAACAGAATATCTCTCTAAGTGAAAACAGAAGCAAGCAAGATGCACAACAGATACAGACGCGGAGCCCCGGGATTTCACTCGCACGGGGCATGGACGGAGTCGTCCGTGGTGCTGAGAGAGCAGCGACGGCCTCCAACACGAACACGGAGTCCGCCCCCGACATTTTTGCCAACAAGCCTAAGCTCAATATCCTTTCCAGGTATTGTTTCCATAACGCCGTCGTTTAATGCTTAGCCGTAACCTGGTCGCCGGTGAGCTTCTCGACGTAAGTCTTCGCCCTGTAGTCGAGATGATTAGCATAGTCCAACGTGCGCGTCAATGTAGCAAAACTTACATATCACCCATAGCGACCATGCAAATAGTCTGCCAGACACCAAGACCGATACGGGGGGCAACGCCGCGGTACAGACCAGAAAAGCCGTTGGTCGAGTAGATGTAGCGGAAAGTGTTGCCGACAGTCATCTTCTTGGGTCGGTTAGGGTCCTCCTTCTTGCTCTGCATCTCAACGCGGATAACCTCGATGGGCTGATTCCAGGCGCTGAGACCACCACCCAGACCGGAGGCGAGGATCTTCTCCCAGGCGCCGAGCTTCTCGCCGTCCTTCTTGCCGGTGGCGTTGCGAATACCCTGTTCACAGAGACGAGACAGACCGAAACGGGAACCCCAGTTGGTCATCTGACGGATGGCAACGGCGTTGACACCCTTGTTGATACCGCGGATACCCTCCTTGCGGTAGATGTCCATGAAAGTGGCGAAGGTGCTCTGGGGCGCGACGCCCGTGGCGGCCATCTTGTGCTTGGTGATCTCGACCGTCTTCATGCAAGTGCAGAAACCCATGGTGGCATAGGCCTGGGCAACACCACCGGTGATACCACCGATGATACCACCACCGAACTCAGAAGCGCCGTAGCTGCGGGCGTAGAACTCGGCTTCGGAGGCGACGAAGAGGAGGACGGCGCCCTTGGTGGAGGCTTCGATCCAGGCCCAAGGGATGAGACCCTGGTAGACTTTGGAGGAGAGTGTCAGCCTTCAATTCGATGCGATTGCGGGGGTAATCGATCGACTTCACGGCACGGCAGAGTGCGATTTTCCAAGGGAGAGGGCATCTACTCACAGCCAAGGACACCACCGCGTCCCCAAATGCGGCCCAGGGCAGTGCCAAAGCCGTCGCCACGGTTGGCAGCCATGGTG